TATGGTCATGGCTCTCTCTTTCCCTGCATAGAATTCCCACTGCCCTTGAGGCAGTCCAGTCCTCCACATCGCTTCTCAGACCCTGCATGAGCTTGCCCCAGCCTACCTTTATGAAACCACCCCTTATTCTACTTCAAACTCAAACTCAGCCATATTGAAATGACTTTCACCTCCACAATCACACAATATTCCTTTGAGTCCCTGGGCCCTGACATATTATTGTCCCTCTGCCTCTTTGCTACATTGTTTGGTCAAATCCTACTCATCCCTGAGAACACAAATATCACCTTCTCTGGGAATCTTCCCAGAATGCTCCTGCTCTGGTCCTTCTACGGTACTCTATATTTCTCTAGCATGCTTATTATATTTTATTGCAATTGTTTGTTTAATTATTTAATTTCCCAACCAAATTGTTAGTTTTACTAAGACCTCAGAGAGAAATGGAAACAATGTCTTACTCACTGCTCTATCACCAGAGCCTAGCCAAGTGGCTGAAACCCAGTAGATGCTCCCTAAGTATTTAGTGAATGAATGAATCTCAAAAATAACAAACTCTATAGTTGCCACAGCCAAAGGGTACACTTCACAGATATACATTAACACAAGGCATGGGACAATACACCTTTCACTCCTGGCCAATTCAAAAAATGGCATCTCTATATGTAATAAACAATAACGCAACCATACTAGCCTGAATGAAAAGAATTATTTCCCACAAACAGAAAAACACAGAAGTTCCTCTTCCTTTCATAAAAATAAGACATGACAACTCAACATGTGAGAGAGCAGACATCTTGTACCAAGACAGAATAAGAGTGAATGTTTTGGCCCTTTAGACAGCTCTAGGATATTCTCCCTACACATTGTGGACACACACACACACACACTCACACACAACGTCTCAGAAAATATAGAGCATGAATAAACAAAGAAAAAATAGATAATGAGCTTCTAAAGCATATATTTCCATATTTAGCATGGTGTCTGGCCCAAAGGACAGGTAACCCCAAATGTGAGAGATGAAACCAGAGTATAACCCCAGCTAACTGCAAACACCAAAGGTTGATGTTGGGGGAAGGAGGAGACCTACGAAGGGGATTCAGATTGCTACTACTTATAAGCCAGATCCAGGTTATGTCATCTTTACTGTCCCATTTTACATATAAGGAAATGACACTTGAAGGACTAAATAAGTAGCCTATAGCTAATAAATGCCTAAGTGTAGTTCTTTTTTTTTTTTTTAAAGATTTTATTTTATTATTTGACAGAGAGAGAGACAGTGAGAGAGGGAACACAAGCAGGGGGAGTGGGAGAGGGAGAAGCAGGCTTCCCCACGGAGCAGGGAGCCTGATGCGGGGCTCGATCCCAGGACCCCGGGATCATGACCTGAGCTGAAGGCAGACGCTTAACGACTGAGCCACCCAGGCGCCCCCTAAGTGTAGTTCTTTCCAGTCCTTAGTGCTATACCCCAAACCAAGCAGGACCTAGTCATTTCTTTAGACTAAAGACAAATTTTCCTTTCAATATCCTCTAGCTAAGGTTACCATAAGGTTTATTCACAGATTTAGAGACAAAACAGATGGCTATACCTTCAGGAGGAAACATTTTTATTGTATTTTTAATTTTTTTAATTTTTATTTTTTTTAAGAATTCTTCTTAATCTAGATGGGTGTGATAAATGTATCGCAGTTAAATTTTTTTAAAGATTTTATTCATTTATTCATGAGAGACAGAGAGAGAGAGAGAGAGAGAGGCAGAGGGAGAAGTCCCCTGATGTGGGACTCAATCCCAGGGCCCTGGGATCATGACCTGAGCCAAAGGCAGATGCTTAACTGACTGAGCCACCCAGGGACTCTGTATTCTTTTTAATAATGGTCCCTGACAGATTGAGGAGGGGGGCAAGATTTTTCTAGAGGTACTTTGAGAGCAATTCTTTTGAGTACAGGGACTATTTTTCCCCATTGTCTTCTCTAGATAGCTCCAGTTTCAATCTTGACTCAATTTTAGAATTTTTAAAGTGACATGAAAAGGCAGTTTTACGTATAATGACCTATATAAGATGTCTTAATTCTAAAACCAGAACTCAAGTACACTGCTTTGGAAAAGGGATCCTGAGGCTCACCTATCATTTTGCCTTTCAGAATCAGAGAGGCTTGAGGATACAAAGCACACTGTGAGAGGGGGGAATGGATGAAACTGTAAGCTCCGTGTCAGAACCTTAGTCCCCTTCTGCCACTAGATTCCCTGAATGGTAACAACCAGTCTTATATTCTCCAGGCAGGAGAGTGGAGGATTTCCTCACTGGCAAAGCTAAACACACACACATGCAGGCACGTGCATGCGTCCACGTGCACATGCACGATCTATAGCTACTGACATGTGGGCATCACCACATGATAAAGCTGGATTTCCACCTCAATAATGAATACTGAACCTCATATAGGACTTCTTATCTGCATTTTTGTGAGTTAATCTTCAGAATGGACACCAAGGATCACCAGACATTCAAGGACCACCTCTAATGGGAAAGACAGAGATCAAAACAAATAGAAGAAATAAAGAAATATGGAAAACAAAACAATGCAGAGAAAACTTGAAAAATACTTATAGTAATAATTAACATTTTAAGAGAAATGAGAAGATATTATAATTAAAAAATATAAATAGGATGCAATTTAAAAATAAATTAAATTTATTTCTCTTTTGGAGAGCCTGGCTGGCTCAGTCAGTAGAGCATGCAACTCTTGATCTAGAAGTTGTGAGTTCAAGCTCCACACTAGGTGTGGAGATTACTTAAAAAAAAATAAGAGTCACCTGGGTCGCTCAGTTGGTTGTCTGCCTTCAGGCCAGGTCATGATCTCAGGGTCCTGGGACTGAGCCCTGCAACCTCGTCCTGCTCAGCAGGGAGTCTGCTCCTCCCTCTCCTGCCCACCCCTGCTTGTACTCTCTTGTGCAAGTGCTCTCTCTCTCTCAAATAAATAAAATCTTTTTAAAAATTTTTTTCAAATTAAATCTTTAAAAAATTAATAAAATTATAAAAACAAAAAACTTTTTAGAAATTTTTTAAAGTGACAACAAAAGGGCGCCTGGGTGGCTCAGTTGGTTAAGCGACTGCCTTTGGCTCAGGTCATGATCCTGGAGTCCCGGGATTGAGTCCCACATCGGGCTCCCCGCCCAGCGGGGAGTCTGCTTCTCCCTCGGACCCTCCCCCCTCTCATGCTCTCTCTCTCTTTCTCTCTCTCAAATAAATAAATAAATAAAATCTTTAAAAAAAAAAAGTGACAACAAAAATTAAGTATCTAATTTTAAAAACTGAAGATAAAATCAAGTAACTCTCCCAGAAGACAGAATAAAAAAATAAGATAGAATACAGAAAGGAAATTCTAAGAATATTGCTCAGTCCAGGAAGTCCAATATCTGATTAATAGTTGTACCAAAAAAATAAAACAAAGATAATGAATGAAAAATTATGAAAGATATAAGAAAATTTCCAGATTGAGTTTCTAGACTGGAAGAGCCCACAAGGATAACTAGCAGAACAACAACAACAAAAATCCACTCATTTTCAAATTTTTAAATTTAGATTATCAGAGGTAAAGAAATCCTAAAAGCTTCCAGAAGCCAACAAAAAGAGTCCTATATAAGAAAACAAAAATTAGAATGTAATTATATTTCAAAACAAAAATACTAAAAGCTAAAAGATAATGAAGCAATGTCTTCAGACTGTGAAGGAAAATTATTTCCAACCTAGACTTCCATACCCAGCCAAACTATCAAGTAACTGTGAAGACAGACTTTATGTATTTGCATGTCTACTCTGCAAGTTCTCAAAAATGTTATCTCCTACACACCCGTTCTCAGGAATCTACAGTGTACCAGCAAATGTGGAAAGTCAGATTAAAAAAAAAGAGAAACATGGGCCCAAAGAAACAGGGTTCCATGTTTAATCCAAAAGGAAGATGAAGAGAATACCTAGAATTCCTGGAAGACAAATAAATAAAATTCCAAGAATAATAATAAAAGGAAGTTCCAGGACAACAGTTAAGTAGAATCTCTAGAGAGTAACCAAGCAAGATCAGGGAGATGAAGAAATGGCTCTAGAAGAGAGAGTTTTGAGAGATAACAAAAATTAGAAGAAGAAGAATAGTAACAATAAACAATGGATAGAGCACCTAGTGAGTGTGACTAAATTTAAAATGTATTTCAAGTATGTCAGAGAGTTTGTACATGATTTAGAGGAAGATAAAAGAAAAACAAAGCACCTGGTAACCTGAGGCAATTATTAACTCTAAGGAAAAGAGAAAGTTGCAAAAGAAAGGAAATATGATTTTAGGACACCATGCAATTCAGCTTTGAACAGTATATTCATAATATAATAATGTAAACACTGAATACGAAGTTAACAAAAATGGCCACTGGACAACACTGGAAGGGCAGAGGGAGGTGAAATGTGTACACTGGGGGCCAAGCAGGGGTCAACAGAGAAAATCATGTAAGAGAGCCATATCTTCATCCTCTAGGTTTGAAGTCAATAGATAATACATCAAACTGAAAAATTAGAAAACGCCCATAGAAGCAGGTTATTTGGGAAGGTGAAGATAAACAGAAGAAATAAGTAAAAGTTAAAAATGATTGATTCTGAGGAATAGAAAATAGGAATAGGAAGCATTGGGCAAGGTACCCTATTACCTTCTGGTAATATCTGAGCTTTAAAATTATACATATGTACTACTTTGATATAATGTAAAATGTAAAAACACAGTAGGAGAATATTTATAAATAAAATAATATGTAAAGCCTGATCCATTTGTAAATATAAATACACACACATACACACACACAGAAGCTTCAGAATGCATGTAACTGTTACTAATGCCTGTCTCTGTGTGATGAGATTACAGGAGTTTTGCTGGTTTCTTCTTTTCCTACAAAGATCTGTTTTGCTATTTTAACAAGAAACATACTTTTTCTTCACAAAGTATTTTAAAGTATTTACTTACCTTAGCTGATTTTTCAATACTTAAGCCTCCATCCAGTTTAAAAAGAATTGTCATGTTGTAACCAGTCTGGTTTCCATGTCCATGAGGCCACCAAGTTTCTACGGTAACATTCTTTGAAGAAACAACGTAAGTCATTTTATGTACTTTGTGGCATATTTTCAGCAAAATATTATAGTGATTAAGAGCATTATATCAAGGTCTCATAGAGTCAATCACAGAAATTCTAGGTTCTATATTAGGCCAAATTATACCAATCCATACATAATACTTAAAAAATCAACATGCTAGGTGTTTCAGCATGGATTAATATACCAAAAGGGAAAGGAAAGAACAGAATACCATGGGTTTTCAGAAAAACAATTTTTTTCATTTCTAACACTGAAGCTTACATTCATTCTTTATTCTTAACAGTTAGAATTGGACTTTGAGGTTGACTCTTTTTCCAAGCCCAGAACTAGAAATTGTTTCTCACTTTTAATCTTACTTTTAATCTAAAATTCTCACTTTATCCGAATAGTCACAACGTTGCTTTACTCCATCCTGTTCAGTTCACAATGATCAATTAGAGGAATAAAAAAAGGAAAAAGAAAAGGGAAAATCTAGCCCACTTCTACCCATGAAAGATCAGGAGTTTGGAATTAGAATTCTGCATGTAAAATAAGCACTAATATTCAAAATAATTTACTGTATTTAATAATCACTGAAATCAGAAATAATCAGAAATTATAAAGAATTATACAGAAATAATCACTGTATTTAAATGTAATGCTTATAATGTATTTTGGATTTAGGATACTGCAAAGAGTGCAGAAAAATTAGGATACAACACACCTGACTTCTTGAGAGAAAAGGATGCTAAATCACATGTTCTCCATTTTCTTAATCTCAAAATTTGGGAATATCGTTCCTTAGTTCGTAACACACACAAAATATATGAGAGGTTAAAAGTGAAGGAGAAAATGGAAAAGTACATTTTTCTTTCATTCTCAGCCCCTTTTTTCTAGCCATTTCTTTTGAATAGTATTGCTTTTCATCTAGTGGTTCTGAGGAAGTACCATCATTCACCTTATTAATTTTCACAAATAGCTCAACAATCCTTTCCCCAGGTTGAAGTTCAATGCTGTATGTCTGCTGTGTCTGCAGTTTAGGGATGGCTACAATCACTTGACCAGAAATTGGCTTTGAGCTGACAACATCAAAAGAAGACTCTATTTCAAGATTCCACCCCTGGGTATGGTTATCTAAGGCATAGAGAAAAAAAAAAAAGAAAAGAAACATTATATATATATATATATATATATATATACACGAAATATGCTAAGCATTATTGGTGCACTCCTTAGGATTCATTGAAGAAAACACTGAAGCAGCTTCTAAACTAATAAGCACTCCACTGATCCCGTCTTGAGAAAAAGTCCAGTGGAAAGTCTCATTTAATCTTTAGAGTTTAATCATTCATTTTGTTTTTTTGTGTTTTTTTAAATCATTCATTCTGAAGAAGAAAAACCAAAAGCATATATTTTATATATACTTCTACTCTAAAAATGTTACAATCATAAGTCATAAAACTTTATATATAGGGCATGAATAGAATATCACAAATGAAAATATAACTGAGATTGATACATGCTCGTTCCTTTTTTATAAAGCAAAGTAAAAATACACAGTTTAAAGCCATATAAGATATAAACTTAGATGTAGTAGAATTAATCAAATGTGAAAGAAGAGAGATATACAGTTGACCCTTGAACAATGTGGGTTTGAATTGCATGGGTCCACTTACATAATTTTTTTCAAAAAATATATTGGAAATTTTTTTGGAGATTTGTGACAATTTGAAAAAACTCACCATTGAACTACATAGCTTAGAAATACCAAAAAATTATTGTAAGGGTACAATATATAATACATATACAAAATATGTGTTAGTCGACTCTATGTGTTATTTGTAAGGCTCCTGGTCAACAGCAGGCTATTAGTAGCAAAGTTTTGGGGGAGTCAATGGAGTGCCTAGCTGGCTCAGTTGGCAGAGCTTGCAACTCTTGATCTTGGGGTTGTAAGTTCAAATCCCATGTGGGTGTAGAGATAACTTTAAAAAAAAAGTTACATGTGAATTTTCAGTTGCACAGGGATTTAGTGCCCCTAATCCTCATGTTGTTCAATGGTCAACTGTTATTTTAAATGTAGATTATTTAACCAAGAAATATTTACTGAGAACAGTCTATGTGCCATGTACTTTGCTAAGTGATGGGAATTACACGGTGACCAGGATAAACATGGCCCCTGACCGCATGAGTTAAGAGTCTAATGGGATATAGCCAAATACAAAAGTGACACAATACCAGGATGGGAGAAATATGAGGTTGTTCTGAGAAAACATTCACAGGAAGTAAGGTCACTTAACTTACAGGGGTGAAGGAAGGCCCTTCAGAATAAACAGTACCTAGCTGAGCCCAGAAGGATGCTCTAGCTAAGTTCAGAGGCAGATGAGACGTTTTCTAGGCATGATGAAAACCAAGGGTGAAGAGCCATGAGTGAGGAGAGCAATGCTTTTAACAAAAACTTGAGCAATAATGAAACTGGTAAGGGAGATCACAGAGGAAGTAAGCAGGGTCCAGCTCATCCTGGCTCATGTGAGGAGTTTGGCAACTTTACCCTAGATCAATGAGGAGCCGCTGGAGATTTTTCATCAAAAAGGAAAACACGGGGCATCTGGGTGCCTCAGTCAGTTAAGCCTCTGCCTTTGGCTCTGATCATAATCCCAGAGTCCCAGGATCCAGCCCCATGTCGGGCTCCCCACTTAGCAGGGAGTCTTCTTCTCCCTCTGATTTTCCTTCCCCTTCCCGTGCTCTCACTATCTCTCTCTTTCAAATAAGCCTTAAAAAAAAAAAAGGAAAACACGATCAGATCTGCATTTAAAAAAAATTACAAAGGGCTCCCTCACAATGACATAGCAGGATAAAAACAGAAGAAGCAGACAGACATGAAATTTCTATCTGTGCAAAAGGGACAGAAGGTGCTACTTGGAAAATCTTGGAATGGAGAGGAAGAAAAGAAAAAGAAAAGGGAGCAAGACTGAAGAGGGAGGCCACAGGGAGAAAAGAAAGATGAGACAGCTGCCTAAGGAATAACACTTCGGGAGTGGAGTTTGTGAATGGGGTGGAACGTTTCAAGAGGGTTCTGAAGTAGTGTTTTATATTATGTGCAACATAACCCCTTCCTCCATCATCCACTAAACTTACATCGTTTAGTCTCCAGAATAGAATCTGGGTTTGGTTTTGGTTTTAAAATAAGACAGTATGCCAAAGGAGGCTTTGGGCAAGAGCAGGGTAGAAAAGCTGACTCATACTTTTTAAGTTACAGAGGAGAAACCAGGGATGGAGTCCCGAAAAAGGTTGCATAGGCAGGATGTGAGAGCCACTAACAAAAGTTCTCATTCCTGACTGCCACAGAAAGGACAGTGACTAGTGCAGATACACTTAGTTTGTATGATCTGTGGCAAGAAACAGGAATTTCCTGCTGAGTGGCTTCTATTCTTCTCTGTGAAAAAGATATGAGAGAAGGTTGTCTGCTGACAAATATCTTAGAGACCGTTTGCCTACAAATAAGGAGGGGACTAATAACCATGGCTCTGCTGCAGATGAAGGAAAAGTATGTATGCTGATCAATGAGCAAAGACTTTATAACTGGCATTCCTTACAAATGTGGAGCCACAATCAGGCTTACTGTAAAGATGATCATAGCACGTCTCATCATCTGTATCCCACATCAACCAAAAGTAGAGATGGACTGGATGCATACGGAAGTAAAACTAATCCTGAACTTAAGAACTATTTTATTTTTTAAATGATCCATTCTTTTTTTTAAGATTTTATTTATTTATTTGAGAGAGAGTGCACAAGCCGGTGGTGGGGGGCGGGGAGGAGCAAAGGGAGAAGCGGATGCCCTGCTAAGCAGGGAGCTGGACGCGGGGCTCAATCCCAGACCCTGAGATCATGACCTGAGCCAAAGGCAGACGCTTAACCGACTGAGCCACCCAGGTGCCCCTTAAATGATCCATTCTTAGGAACACTAGTCAATGATCCTTGAATTGATTTGTTCTGATCCAGCCAATTCTGGAGTTTACCCGCCCATAGCCTCCAAGTTTTTCTAAGATATAGTAAAGTATATCAAGACAACCACACTTGTTTGTTAAAGATACTTTCTTCCTACCAAGTATATACTAAGTCTCTCAATTTTCCCTTTACAGCGTTTTTATTGTTTTTAAACAGAAGCCCACAGTACAATCTGATCCAAAGGTATTTATTTGCTTAAAATATCCCTAAATCTTTGGGGCGCCTGGGTGGCTCAGTCGTTAAGGGTCTGCCTTCGGCTCAGGTCATGATCCCAGGGTCCTGGGATCGAGCCCCGCTTGGGGCTCCCTGCTCAGCGGGAGGCCTGCTTCTCCCTCTCCCACTCCCCCTGCTTGTGTCCCCTCTCTCGCTGTGTCTCTCTCTGTCAAATAAATAAATAAAATCTTTAAAAAAAAAAAAAAAAAATCCCTAAATCTTTGACAGCTACATGACCTTCAGCTCCCTATCATATTCCCTCTGGCTTCCCTTACTATCTCTTATTTCAAGAAATAATAATAGATAACATTTACCAAGAACTTCCTGTGAGCTAGGCACTGTTTTATGCTCTCAACATGTATTAACTTATTTAAGGATCACAACATTTCTATAAGGTAAATTCTATTATCATCATCGTTTAGATAAGAAAGCTGAAATACAGAGGAGTTAAGTAACTTGCCCAAGGGCAGACAGTTAGTAAAGTGCAGAACTTGGACATGAACCAAGACAGTCTGAAACTAGAGACTGTACACTTAACCTCTAAGTTATGCCAATTGTAACCAAATAATTTCCCCCCAAAACCATGTCTTATTGGTGCTCAGAATTTTTACAGCAGGGAGGGGTTTAATTATATAGGGGATCATTTATTTTAATATCATGTGATGACAGACATCAAATATATCTTTTGGCTGAGTCTTTAGCCACAACAGCACAGAGTCATAAAACTTTTGAACTAGATGTTGACAGATCCCCCAGTGTACTTTCTGGTAAGTGTTTAATTCCCTCTAGACCATGGCTGACAAACAACTGGTCTTTGGGCCAAATCTGACCTACCTCCTCTTTTTATAAATAAAACTTTATTGGAACAGAGCTGCTATGGACTGAATTGTGTCACCCCACCTCTCCGAAATTCTTATGTGGAAGCCCTAACTCCCCAATATGATTGTATCTGGAGGTAAATTTTTAGGAGGTAATTAAGTTAAGTGAGGTCATAAGGGTGAGGCCCTAATCCGACAGGTCTGTGGTCTTATCAGAGGAAGAGATCTACCTCCTTCTTTCCCTCCCTCCCTTCATCTCTTTCTTTCTTTCTGTCTGCCTCTCTGTTTTTCTTTCTTTCTCCCCACCACCCCAATCATGTGAGGACACAGCAAGAAACGCAGCTATCTGCAAGCCAGGAAGAGAGTCCTCACTACAAACTCATTAGCGAGCACCTTGATCTGAGCCTTCCCAGCTTCCAGAACTGTAAGAAATCAATGTCTGGGGACACCTGGGTGGCTCAGTCGGTTAAGCGTCTACCTTCAGCTCAGGTCAGGATCTCAGGGTCCTGGGATCGAGTCCCGCGTCAGGCTCCCTGCTCAGCGGGAAGCCTGCTTCTCCCTCTCTGTCTCTTTCTCTGTCAAATAAATAAAATCTTTAAAAAAAAAAAAAAAGGAATCAATATGTATTGTTGGAGCCACCCAGCCTGGGTATTTTGTTAAGGCAGGCTACAACAACCATGCTCATTTGAGTACACGCTGTCTTTGGTTGTCTTTGTGCTACAATGGCTGAGCTGAATAGTTACAATAAAGGCCACATGGCCCAAAAAGCCTAAAACATTTACTATCTGACCCTTAACAGAAAATGTTTATTGATCCCTACCCAAAAAAGGCTATTCTAATCTCTCTAATATCTGTAATGAGAAAACCGTCTGCCTCACAAAATAGCCTTCCCTTTTTGTTAGCCTTGACTACTATAAAGTCTTCACATTGAACTGAAATCCCCTTTTCTTTAATTTCTACAGAAAGATTTTAGTTCTGGTCTACTAATAACCAACCAAGTTCAAGCTGACTCCTTGGATGTTTCCTATCACTTCCTCTTCGGTGGAAAATCAGCTGCTTATAAAAGCCTCTGGCAGGAAGACAAATAATGCAGTT